CTATCTTATGATAAAGGTCACTCTGATTATCTTTGCATTCAACATGTTTTACATGCCTTATCCAGCTAGTCACAGCATATTTCCCTAAGGGATAGTCTCCAATCACCCACTCAACTCCTCCCCTGTCAATAGATTGCATGATTTCCATGAGATATATTATGCATGTTTGGGCAATCATTTTATGTGCCAATAACTCATTAATGAGGAATGATTCAGTAGTGTGAGATGAATTATACTGATTGATCAAGAACTCCTTCACGGATGCATGTGCCAGCTGCACATTTGAGTGTATATCAACTGCTACCAGAGTTGAATCAATAATTACATAGATTTGAGCATTTGTTCCATTGGCCTTTTCCACACTGCTATTCTTCAAATCTATTGCCAAAATTTCTTTGATCATTTCTACAGTCAGGGGCTCAAATGAATATAGAAGCCATAACAGAATATTATGAGCATCTTTTCTGGTCCTTTTCTTCACAGTCCGGTTCATTGCTTGATTATAAGTTTGCTCCAGATCTTCAGGCAGATCTGCCAAAGCTTCACGGACAGTTCTAGGTATTCCACCACAATCCTCAAGTGCCCTTAGCTGACAGTCCACCCAGCGGAATCTATGGGCATAATTATCAAATTTTACAGATAAGGTATACCAAATATTTCAAAAATACACTTACTGCCCCTGTGCCTTTTCCTTCAAGGTGTTTATAACCTCAGCCCTTAAATCTCTCTCAAACTTATATTGTTTGATATTTTCCTTTAAATAAATTGCAATGTCTTCATCAATCTTGGCATTTTTGCTATCTAATAAAATTTCAAGGCATTCCCTTGAAATCTCCCCCTCTGACCTGTAGCGGCTTGTAAAAAGGATGTAATACTGCTTAGGCAGATCTTGCAGCCACCCCAAAACTTTTGAAGGTTCACTACACTCATCCATAGCATCCAACACAATGTACCCCCAATTGACAGTCACAAAGACTTCTTTCAGTACCATGGCCAAGTCTTTTACAGTAGGTGAGGATCCACTGAGGCCTTGCCTACTGCATTTGTCAAATAATTTCTTTAATGCAGGATGAATGCCTATACTATTGGCACCAACCCTGAGCAGAAAAGATAGAAGATAGCCCCGAAATGTGGACTTTTGGTCTGTATTATCACGTGAATCAAAGTAGTGATACCAGACATTTTCTGGGGCTCCTTGCTCAAGGTCTCTAATGATTGTAGTGCTAGATGAGACGACTTTCAATAATCTTGAAGTTATTGGCAATTGTAGAGCTCACGTTAAAATGGTTTTGCCTGATCCAGCTTCAATGGGTTATCAGAAACAACTTATTGTGTCAGGAGTATCACCCATACCTTTACCCTGAATCCAGAGCACATTTGGGCTTTGCTTCCACTTGATATATTCAGGATGATCAAGGATCCATTGACCAGTACCCCCAGTTCTTTTGTCATCTGCAACTTGGAAGTTTATTGTACAATCAGGTGGATTCAGCCATTTTAGGATCTTTTCTTTTTCATCATTTGCTGTCAAAAACCCGAACACCCTGAGTGCATGTCATGATAATGAGCATATATAACTCACAAACAACAATGAATGTTCCACCATATATGGCAAAATTGGAAGCATTAGGAAACATTCTATATACCAGTCTGCTATTAGATCGAGCCCAAGCATAGAGTAATTCTCGTACGTTCCGCTTGCATTGAACACTGTTGTTTCTGAGTCTCTGTGGAGCAGTGCACAATTAATAAAGTGTAAGGGTTAGCATATACACAATTGACATACCGCATGCGCTGTAATTCACTCATGATGGGTGGATCGAGGAAGCGACAGTCAAAGCTCCCTTTATATACAGTAACTGTCAGGGACCCCATGACCACCGTTATCGATCAGTTCGCTCTAATTGACTACTGCGATATATGAAACCGGTGGCTGCCGCTGCCACGATGAGTCTGGTGATGTTCAGTGAGTTTTACACGACATTTTACAGCCTACATGCTTCGTTAACCAGCTGTGGTAAGATGATGAATGGTCAAAATATATGGGTTCGACATGGGTCCGCTTTCAGCGGTGTACACGGGAACAGCCGAGCTTAGACGTAATTAGAATACATCTCCTCCGACGTCGCAAACCCTTCCCGGTGAAATTCTACCCTAACTTTACCACCAGACCCCTTCCTCAACACTCCTTTCGCCGCCGTGACTCGGACATCCACTCATCCCCATCCTCCTCCTCAGACCACGGTATCACCCACAAGCGTAGTGTCAAAACTTGTCCAAGAGCAGCATGAGGATTTGGTGGATAGATGGAAGGTAGTGACGGATTCAATTGCTCTGGCTTGGCTCATCCAAAACTGGTGATGGCTTGGCGCGCCACGGCTCAAGCCGCATATTGTACTAAATTTAGAAATCTGGAACCTTCGTTTAGCAATACACTTCAGAACTATGTTCAGAGGTTGATATGCAGTCATAAACATGCGAGAATCTTCAGTATAGTGAAATCGGGACATATTCGAAAGAATAATAACTTGGGACGGACCCCGTACCGCCACGGCACCGGCAGCTGATGCTAAGGTCAACTGTAACAACGGTTCACTAGCTCAGCGGCTAGAAGCCGCTCCGCTTGACGTAGCTTCGGCTTTAAGCCAAAGCTGCGCTATTTGAAGCCGAGCAACGGACCCTTTGAAAGACCTTTTTGGGGACATTCGAAAGGCGCCATATTAGACTCTTCTTTGGAGGAATTCGGCTGCGGGTGGGAGTCATTAGGTGGTTTTCTGGATGTTGGGTACGTGCGCTCTACTTAGCTTAATGCTGTAGCTCACTGGTTCTTATTAGTTACAGCTGCAGGAACACCTATACTCGGTTCCAAAGGTTTGAAGGTTTTGAACTCAGTTTACACGATAGAAAGTTTATGCCATGGCTTGTGTTCTGCATTGGCTCCACGTTTGCGGCCTCATCATTGTCATATCCCCATTACTTAAGCCCATTTGCTCCGGACCACACGCCGACATCGCCAACCAAATGCAAGCGCAAACAGATTTCACGTGACTTCGGCCGCTGGCCGAGTCCCGACGGAGAAGAGGCTTGGAATGAACCTACCTTCTAGTTCTACACGTCCATCTACGGTATACTGTAACTGGTTCCTATAAAACAAAATGTCGTCGTCAGCATCGGCAATGGCGGAGGACTGGCACTCGCAGCCTTCGAAACTGGTCTTGGACGAATTTATTGGTCAAATGCTGAACTGAACCAAGAACTGTTCGAGTTCATGGCCCACCCACGTCGATGTGTTTGAGCGATTCGTCACCGATTTTGAATCAATGATGAACCAGCTGAGGCTGGTAAAGATGCGTGTGGGTGTATCGATAGAAATTGATAGTATGTCTATTTTTGAATTAAATTGATGACTTTTTACTGAACCTCTTTCTCGTACACCCTCAGACACGTCTAACCTTCCTCACTTCTCTACTATCCCAAATCGACAAGGAAACGTCGCCAGAAACATATATTCTCTTTTACGCCAACATTGCCCGTGCAAAACTACTTGATGGCGATCTAGAGGGCACGAAAGCAGAGATGGACGAGGCATGGAAGATTCTTGATAGCCTAGAGAGCGTCAAGAGCAGTGTCAATGCGGCATATTATGGTGTTGCTGTAGATCATTACAAAGCCCTTAACCAGTCGTTCTCATCCGAGAAGGCGTTTTGTCCTGACGATTCTAATCTTCCACAGGACTACGCACCTTACTACCGCAACTCCCTCCTCTACCTTGCCTGTGTAGACCCAGCATCGGATATGACCGCGGAAGATCGGCTAGGGCGAGCGCATGATATAGGTCTTTGCACGTTCCGCGACGTTGATAGATTTCTACCCTACTCTCCAGTTAGTGCACCCAATCCTCGATGCCCTCGACGGAACCAACTTTGAAGGGATCGAGAAGCTCTTGTTCACGGTTAACGAGGGGAGCATAGGGAAGTTTGAAGCGCTAGCGCCGTTGTTACCACAAGAGGTACTTTTTTTCCGATTTATTTCCCCTTCTCGTTTTCCTGGCCCTTCATTTCGTTACAATCCGTACTGGTGCGTTTACCACTCGTACAGCCGATTCTGCAAGAAAACTACGCCTTCCTCCGACAAAACATCTGTCTCATGGCTCTTATTGAATCAGTGTTCAAACGGAGCGCAAATAATAGGACCATGAGTTTCAAGACGATTGCGGAAGAGACGAGGCTGCCAAATGACGAGGTGGAGCATTTGGTTATGAAAGCGTTGAGGTGAAAATTGTTTTGTTTTCCTTAATCCTTCCCTGTTCCCCGACTTCTCCCACCCGTCGCTCATTCTTCCCTTCTCTCGCCGTCGCTCTATCTCTTTATTTCGGACTGTTGCTGACTTGTCCTCTCATTCACCTCCATATCCTCCCGTACACTTCCCTTCCCTTCCCGTAGCCTGAAACTCATATACAAGGCTCAATGGACCAAGTCTCCCAAAAAAACTCAAATCACCTGGGTCCAGCCTCGGGTCTTGTCTCGGTCGCAGATAGGTGATCTTGCGAAGAGGTTGGAAGGGTGGGTGAACAAGTTGAACGTAGTCGAGAGGCGGATTGCTGGGGAGGTTGAGGTTAGCGCTTGAGGATGAAGTATGTGAATATGTGTATGGAGCGCTGACTAGGCAGCCGGGTTAGGGGGAGTATGTACGCAGGTAACGCTTTAAATGATGCTGTCGTTTTCTACTTCTTTTTCCCGAAGAAATCGAAAGAACCAGTTCTAGTGAGCGCACCACAACTGTTTGAACTGTTCTCAGATTACTCTTGGGCGTGGTTTAGTTGGAATCTATACGAGGTTAGAGGAAGGCAAAGAGGAGAGATACACAGTCCTTACTGTCATTTGGGAGTGTAGGTTTGTAAATGTGGGATAAATCGATGAAGACTTGTCATTTTCCTGTTCTCTGAATGAAAGAAAACAGTGTAGTCACGGGACAAAAAAACGGTCTTTGAATAGTAAGATGGGGCGAATCCGGATTCGAACCGAAGACCCCCTGCAAAGGTAGAGATACGGACTAGCTCACCCAAAGCAGGTATCATACCTCTAGACCATACGCCCTCACGAATTTGGCGTCAAAATTGCAAACAGGTTACGCAGGAAGGAGGGCACTGACTCACATACAGAAGGTGATAATATAAACTTGAAAGTTCATAATTCGTTCACAATAGATAAATTATAACGACTTTGGCGGACTCCCTTGCTTCGCAGGAAACACTCAAAGAATGAATGAAAAAAGCAGTACTTGCTCTAGTACATATGTAGACTTGAAGACAAAAAAAAAAAAAACACACACACACACACATGAAAGAAGAAAAGATAAGCGTAGTTGTATATGGGGCAAATTCGGATTAGAACCGAAGATCCCCTGTAATGGATCGATGAGTATTACACTGCCAATGCAGATATCCCACTCTTTGGACCATACGCCCTTTGAGAAATTGGCATGTTGAATTGGTCTAAGCAGGAGTTGGAGCCGAGTACCATCTGAGGTCTCATTGTAGCACTCTAAAAACTAATTAATTACTTCTTAAGATTAACATATTACTATCAAGTACCGCTTATGAGTAATAAGAATGAAATGCTTAATACATTGGAGCCTAGTTTCGACGTGTCACGATGGCATAAGGAATCCTCCTAAGTACTTAGCGAGCAACAATATGAAATGAAATCAATGATTATTGAGAAGGCAAGAAAGGACTAGACTGTGACTCATAAGAGGCAGTCCTTGAATGCTTGAACCTCGTCACAGCAATGCGGACACCGCACTTACCGATGATCAAAGATGATTCTCGGATGCTTCTCGACAAAGCTACAAAGTTATATAACGGCTTTTAACAAGCACACCATCTTTGCCTCAAACTGGGAGCAAATCCAAAACTCGATAAAGTATTCAAGAAAACTTGACACTCAAAATGACACCTCAAGACAACGAAAAACTATTCATCCTCGGTAGTAGTTCAATCCTCAATAACATCAGCCTCATTATTATATCGGTAGGATGGGGTGCGTGTTGTTAGCTGCTGATTCCAACAGGCTATGAATATGGAAAGTAACGCGAGTTTTGCAGGTGGGCTAGCCATGATGACATTTGTCGCATTTTACTATTTGGGGTAAGCCTTGAATTTGGTCCTGGAGTTTTCTTATATCCTTTCTCAGCATAAAGCCTCCAACGCTCGGTCGACAGATCCTTTTCATGCTCTGCTTTGGAATGCTATTGGTCTTTACAGTGGTCTTTATTTCAAATTCATTATGTGTCTTGCTTGCGGCTTCCATCATCACTGGAAAGGAGACAAGTCAGGCTGCCACAGGACAGGTTTTGATTTTGGATGATATAATGGGATCGGCGCAGAATATTGCAGTAAGTTGTAAGCTCAATGCAAATAGGTAGTGAATGTATGTTTTTTATTCTCATTCCAATTTCAGATTGCTATAGGGGATAGCGCTGTGGTCTGGAGAGCATGGCTATTACTACCTGAAGGCAAGTTTTGGAAAAGTCTTCTTACAATTCTCATGTTTGCCAATGTGGGTGCGTGGATAAAGTATAGAGGCCTCTATATCTGTTGACTTCTTCTAGGCTTACTTATCACGGATTGCGTCGTGGAGGAGATTGAATCTTTGCAGAGACTCTATAATATTCTAAGTTTGGACTGGATTTCACTTCTTGCTTCCATTGTCATCAACTTATTCATCACACTTTTCATTGCGTGGAAGTGGTGGTAAGTATTCATTCAAATACATTGGATAACATGAAGCATACAGTTAAATGTCCAGGGATCACCAAAGAGCCATGAGAGCTGTGTCTGCTAGAGGGAGCAGTACTGTCCAAAAGATTCTTCTTCTTTTAATAGAGTCTGGAGGATTCTTTTGCACAGCACAACTCCTTAATATTATCTTCATTGCGATTACTGTTCCTGATACTACTGGCTGGCTACAGTTTGCAAAGGTAATTGTTGCGCTTTTTGCAGCTGTTACAGTAAGTTTGCACATCAATTTTAAAATCCTTACTCTTAATTTTTCGAAAAATAAACCATACAGGCATGGTATCCTGCAGCAGTTATTACCTTGGTGAATACCAATAACTCACCACTTGTGGAAACAATACAATATGGGGAGAGCACTAGAGATAGCAGAAATGTTTTCAACAGTGCTCCAACATGATTCAAGGAGTAGGCCAGTTTTTCCTTCCATATTACAGGGAGAAATTAACTTTCAAATTTAGCGATGCAATGGACAGTTGCTAGTGCTCATACTGCTGCAGAGATGTTATAGTACCTCCAGGGACCAGACCATACATCTGCGTGACCTAAAAATTGAGAGCAGGTGGCATGTAAGGCCTACACCTCTGTGATACATACACACTCCTTCAGACATATAAATACTGTACTATTTCAATTGGAAGTTCATTGACTATCATGCATAATGCGTGGTCAGGTTCAGTTCATCAGTTCAGTATAAGTGCTGGTCTGGAAGTCAGGCATCAACACATTGATGATTCTCATTAAGTATGTTGTATGTATTAGAATGCTTCTACAGACTGAAGCTTGAGCCACATTGAATACTACACTTTTATCCATTCAAGGAGCTCTGCAAAAAAAATTTTCAGCGTGAAATGGCATCCTCACGGGGAGCCAGTTCTCAACCCAACCAGAAAGCTTACAATTACTTGTTTTGCATCAAATTACCCCGAGACTCTGGAAAATATGACTGGACTGATAGTAGTTCTGAACCTGACATAATCCATGATGCATGGTAATTTCAGTTCAGTTCAGTGGCATCCATGACACATGACTGAACTTCTAATCAAAATAGTATGGTACATGTATTACTTGTTCCTTAGCTTTCTTTATTCATGCGTAGTATTTCTCGATATACATCTAGTCAAGTTCTACTGCATGACTGAAAGCCTCTCATCGCCCTTACAAATTGGATGGTGCTTAGATAAGCCACAGAGTATGACTCTCAAGTTGCCCATCTGTGTTTGACTACTCAGTCCTGATGACAAAGGTCATGAGGGAGTACACAGAATGCTTGGTTTTTCACTTGGAATTGCGTAGTAGATATAATGGTAGATTCCCTTGATTTGAAGAAGTGTAGCGGTTCTGGCCCATTATGGTCTGGGTTATTTTCTCACATATGGTTGTAGTCATGTATGGCGCTCCGCCGACTTTGCTCCTTAGTCTATCAATGCCAGTGTTGGGCTCATTGCCCTCTTAGCTCTCTCTTTTCTGATTCCCTTAGCATAGAACCTTCACAAGAAGTTGTACTTACTTTGGGACATGTGGAGTTTGGGAGCTATATCAAAATCAATAATCAACAAGAACAAAAAGCCAGAAAAATGTTAGTGGGAGTTGTTCATGAGGCAAATCCAGATTCAGACTTTGTTTTATGTACTGTTCAAGTAAACAAAAAAAACAAAACTTTATCAAATATTTCTATATTGACACCGATTTCTCTGCTGCACATGTGGAGTTGGTATTCAATATTCAATCCTCAGGTTTCCAGATGCGCCTAAGACTTAAGTTCAGAACCGTGCATAAAATCAAACCTATTATTACTCTGTTACTTAGGAATCTCGGCATACAGACTATAAATAATGTATACAAGACACTTAACCTATCAACTTAGCTGTCCCTATCAACAGTCGTTGATGAATTCGACTTACTCTAGTATAATACCCAGGTGGTGATTCATCCCCATCAGTGAGACCTTGCATCCAGGCCAACTTCTGCTGAGATTGCGAAGATGCAATTTGCTCCATCATCCTCTGAATCTGATCCTACAATTTCCCGAATGCCACATTCTCATCTGCACCCCTCAAGGTCCTCATCGGCTGCAGTATGTGTGAGCCCAAAATTGATCCGGCTGACAATGAGTCCCCGGAAGAAAAGACATCTCCCATATGGCTGCCTCCTTCCACATGTTGGTCAATCTCATTACTGATTGCTCCCATCCGATGCATCTCTTTCAACTCAGTATGATGTGCCGTAGTGGAAGTCATAGAGAGGAAATCAGTTTCGTGAGAGATTGAGGGGTCTGAAAGAAAATTGCTGGAGAAAGGCACGGGAATTTCATGCTCTTGGTCTAGAGATAATAAGCGAATCAATTGCCTCCAGTGTGGAGATGTTCCTTACCAAAAATTTGTTGCTGACGTCGATGGCGACCACATAACAACAGTCCTGTTATGAAGGCACCGAGAGCCACCAGTCCCCCGACTACAGCCCCAACAATGGTGCCTACTGAATCTGTGGATTTGGAAGAATTCTCCGAGTTATTAGAGCCAGTAGGAGTTGCAAGATTACTGGTGATTGAGAACGACAGGGAAAGAGAGGATGGAAAGGAGGAAGACGGGAAGCTAGGAGACGGCGAGGACAAAGATGTGGAAAATAATAGTGTGGAGGATGTTGACGGAGTTGTCAGAAATAATGTGGTGGACCTGGTGGATGATGGTGAGGAAGTAACTGCACCTTCTTGAAATCTGACAAATATTACATATAGTACAATTCCAAAAATCTTCCAGAAATACCAACGTATACAAGGCGTAATCAAAATTAACCCAAATATTGACATTGAAATTTGCTGCGGAAATCACCATTTTGTGATTTGTATTCTCCAAACCCATTTTTGAAAATGCCAAAGCATTGAATTGGAAGGCTGGAGCACTAGAGTCCGGAAAGTGAGTGAAGCTCCCAGCCATGAACCCATCGAGAGTGAAGCTGGCAGCTGTTGTAGCAGCGATACCAGATGGGGGAGCATTGGCAAGGATAAAGAAAATTTAGATAGCAGTGCCTTTCTAGAACCCTTTAAAACAAGTCCTAAAACTTCAAGAAAACAGACAATTGTCACCCACCGGTGAATTCAAATGTGATAGACATATTTTTTAAACCGGGATTGTATGTTGCAGCAGTATAAGTTCCTTTGAAGGCATTGGAAGTAGGAGGCTGAAGAGCACACTCTTTACATGTATTGTCCTCCCAAACACCTAATGTCGAGGGTAAAAATAATGGTCTCTGTCCAGTTACCGAGTCACCCAGGGTGTCATCAATGGAGCGATTGACAGC